GACCTGGGGACTCTTGAGCCCAGAGTCAGTGACATAGCCACAGAAGACTAGAGTGGAGAGTGAAGCGTCCAGCTAATAAGAAGAGAGGGCATATACATAAGAACACCCACACTTGCAGATAATACCCACTTGACCTAGCTTCAATGACTAGATGATCAGAACTCAACTAGAAGAAAGAAGAGAAAAAAAAGAGTAATCTGATACAATTTGATGAACTTGACCTACAACTATGGATGCAGTAGCTCAAAAAAGGGAACAAATCTTTACCCCCTCAGTACACAGGGTAGACAGGGATGGACAACTTGGACACTGGCTACCCAAAATGGGGGGGGCTATGAAGGCAATAACTGACTGGCTTATAAACTTTCAAGAGGGAACCTAGATCCAGATGGGGAGGGGGAAGGTAGAATCACCACTGAGTAGTATCCAATCTGTCTGGGCAGGACTGATGAAAGGAGATGCGGATAGGTGATACAATAGTGAATAATTGTTATCAGGACTGATTGTGAGGATTGGAAATGTACAGGTAGACATTGTGTAGCAAAAGGAAGGGAGTGACTGACTTTGCAGTCTAAGAGTGGAAGTCCCTGGGACCAACAAGAGAAAAGAGTGGAGAGCGGGACCCTACCAAGAGAAGCAGCTGACGCCAGAGATAGAGGCAGAGACGATGACGTGGAGAGATGGAGCAGCTGGGGAGTAAAAACCCAGATAGGGAGAGGGGCTGTGTGCTGACGACTGGGGGGCAGGCTTGCAGGGTATACCCTTTGGTTGTTTGATGATGCATGGAGGGGATTGTAACCATGGCAATGAAAATGATATACGATAGGATGAATGTAAGGCTAATGTTCTCCCATGTAAACTGTCACATAATTCACAATAAAACATTTTTAAAAAAAAGTTCTACCAATCCTTTCATATATCCTTCAATCCTACTTATTTTCTAAGTCATCATGCAAAATGTTCTTTAGACACTTCCTTGAGGCTGTTTTACTTGACTTCTCCAAACCTATCTCCAAATTACTCCCCCATCCACAAACACATATTAAACTACTCATGTTGTTGTTGTTGTTGTTGTTATGTGCCATGGAGTCGGTTCCAACTCATAGCGACCCTGTTCAGGGTTTCCGAGGCTATAAATCTTTACGGGAGCAGAAAGCCTCATCTTTC